GCATATTGCATATGAAAAGGATGTCAGAATTACTAATGTGGAAATCAGTTGATTAATAGGGGTATAATTAAAAAATAAATAACTGATTTGATTCTCTCTTGAATGGGAATGACCATTCCCTATCTTCTCACTTGGAATGCCCATTCCCACAAAAAGTGAGAATGGTCATTCCCTGGGAATGGTCATTCCAACATCTAAAAAGTTGGTTTGTTTGGTATGAAGGAATGGGAAGTGAGAATGCCATTCCATTCCACCCCATTCCCGCCTACCAAACGAGGCCTAGTAGTGTAGTACTACAGAAAATCATACACAAACGAAGGAAGCTAGCTTATATACAACTCATATATCATCCATTTTAAAGTCCACGAGCATGCTTATTAATTCTTGCGACCTTTGCATTGATTATTATTTATTCGCAGTTCTTATAGATTTTTAGTATTTACGGGGCACACACGTGTTAATGTTTTGTTTTGTTTTGTTTTGTTTCTATGCGGTTTTCTATAGAGCCACCATCTATTGAGAGTGCTAAGGCTTTTTTGAAGAATAACAGTTAAAATCTCTAAATTAATAATCCTCTCACTCTCCTTATGAAAATGGCTAAATGATACCCACATTTACATATAGATGTTCTGATAAAACTTGTATTCGTCTGTGCCTCGACTCAGAAAATTCAACTCACATATGCGGTTGGTTGTGTTTTGCTTATTGGTTGTGGTTTATCTCGAGTTATTGTTCGTGTTGCACAAAAAGCTTCCGTCGCGCACAACACAATTCACATATGCGGGTGTACTGATAGAACTCGTACTCCATACTATTTCTATTCCAAGTAATTAAAGACCCCACCGTCCCGTTGGCGAAGGAGATGGCTCCCCCCTCCTCTCTGTAGCGTCCCTGTAATGACAAGGAAAAAGCGGTGGGCTGGCTTAGCACCGCCACGTCACCAGACAGTTGGTATCTTCCTGCCTGGGTCCCTAGGGCTGACGCCATCTTCCTCCTGGGAGAAAGAACGAGGGACGAGGATGCCCTCAAGGGACCGGTCGAAGCCGGCGGGCCCAAAACCCCACTGTTAGGGCTGATGTCAGCCCGACTTGAAATTGACCTTGGGCCCAGCCCACGTATTCCGGATTGCAACTGCTGTCAGCCGGACACCTGTCCTAAAACTACAAACAGTCGCCGGTACGCTTTTTTTTTCTATCTATTTAAAATTCAACAACACGCCAAATCACTTGATAAGATAAGATCACTATTATTATGACACGATATAATACGAGTAAAAGCTAAGCAAAAGCACCGTAGCCAGTCACAAACGCACAATTGTTGCTGGACAAAAGCCCATCGTACGTTTTTTTTTTTTTTTTTTTTTTTTTGATGGTCAAGTTCGCAACGAGTCTTAAAAATCTCGAGTCTAACCCCAAAATAGAGTGTTGATAGCAACGTGTCATCATCCTAATTGTCCCGCCCCAAGAAATTCAGGCCGATTACGGGTTGGCTCGGATTCTGTGGTCCATACTTAATGCACCAATACCTAAACAAGTTCTTACATCTTATACGCGCGCATTTATCTATTTTAGTTGGCTACAAAATCAATTAAGCAGGTTTTTTTTTTTAACCATCACCCGCTCAGTACGCACGTGGGGGGGAGGAAAGAACTAGCAACCCTGATGTTGGAGGTCAAAATTTGAACGCGCCCTGGCTCCTACTGCAAAGTCCTGCTCACAGGACGTGGACCACCTTTTAACAATCCAACTACGAGACCCCAAACAGGGAAAAAAAGGAAAACCCTATAGGGGAACCCTTATAGAAAATCACATAGGGACGACACAGGAGGAAACAAAATTAACCTACCATGAATCTTGATGCACATGTTGCTATCGGTTATTATTACAGTTACATAGACAATCAACGTAAACTGCTCTAGTGGCAAGCAACTACACTAATCGATGATTTGTCCATAGTGATAGTGGATAGCGATCTTACGTCTCTCCGTGATTTTCTTACGTCTCTCAGTGATTTTCTATGGACCGGGCCCTATAAGACTTTCTGTCCAAAAAAAAAAAGTAAAATCAATGGTGGTCAATAGTGATGTATGTAACAAGATTCGGACTAGATTAGCTGTTTTCATCTGTCATGTCGTTGTGATTTTCTATAGAGATCATCTATAAGATTTTTTTTTCCCCTCCGCCCGAACAGGAGTTATTCAGGGTTGGCAGTTGCCAGTATCTTATTATATTTACCCGGGGGTGGGGGGTAACTCAACCATTCAGCCTTGCATCTACTCTAAGAGCCCTCATCCTCCTATTGGAGGGAGCTAACTGTTGTAGCGCTGTGAGAAAACATGTGCTGCTTCCTTGGCCACATACGTATATATAGCCCATGTAGGGCCCAGCATGCTGCCCTAAAAGTAGTTCAGGCCCAAAGCCCTCCGGGCCCCACTCCAGTCCACTCTCAGAGACAGTGCACATGTGCTGCCCCTTTGTTACTTATGGAAGTGTGGGGCCCAACAGGCCTTTACCAAAAAAAGCCTGAAGCCCATATCGGACACCTGAAACTGAAACCAGACCCGTTCCCTGTTCATACATACCAACATCCAAATACTATCAAATACGATCCCCCCAGGTGTCCTGGGCTTCAAGGGAACAAGGGCTCAATTCAAAATGCGGGATGATCTTACGGAGGAAAGATTTTGATGAGATTAGCAATAATAGCAGCAGCAGGAGGAGGAGGAAGAGGCAACAGTGAGAATAATTATATAGGGAGAGGGGGGGCAGCTCGTGAAACCCTCTTTATATCTCTGCATTGCTGTTTGAATCTTAAAGAGATCTGTAGCCCACAACAAACCAAAAAACAAAGTTCAAAAGAAAACAAAGAAGAAAAGGAGGAAGTCATCAAGTGTACTAAAAATATAGGTTAATGTCTGGAAATAGGGAATGAGATAGAGTATCTAAACAATTAATTTGGTCTTTAATTACTTCCCCCCAGGCCCCAGCAAACCAGGGGAGGACAAGAGTCATTAGTAAATCAAAAGATTGGAAATATTACAGTCTAAAGAAAGAAAAACATTTTTACGGCTATACAAAACGTCAACGTGTATAAGATAGATATTAGAGTTGACAATGAAGTCAGAAACTACAAAATTCATCATAACTACCGACCTACACTTGTTAACAAATAGTAGCATTTCTCTGAAGAGCATTTGGCAACAGACCAGAATATATAGCATATTCAGGAGCCAAAATTCCCAGGAAAATGAAGGATTATATCGCTCTGGTATAGAATTAGCTGGGTGACTTTATGGACAGCAATGCCAATCGAAGAGGATGCGACTGGTAGGCTTCACTTATCGGCTTGTCTGTTTGTGCAACTGAACAAGTGATGCTGATAAAAATAAATAAACAAATCCCCCACAGCATGCGGTTTGCATCTGAACCTCTGCCTAAAGTTTTGCAAGACGTATACTAAATCAAGTTGAGATGCTAAAAATATCCTTGTGAGTTCCATAGATCCAACAAAATATCGTAAAAATAGAAAAGATGACACAAGCGCAAACACAACAAATCTAATTCCTCACAGCAAAAACAAACTATCATGCGGTCATGACGCTTGCTTGTATTAGGCTTCTTTTCCCCCATGCAGAACTATAGTTCACAAGTTCAAATGTAGTCATAGGAAAATCAAGGAAATAACACGACACCATAATGATATATGGAGACACGACATATACATCAGATATGGTTGATATTCCGATCCTTATACACAGAAGATGGATTTAGAAGGTCTTTACAATGCCAACTATTTAAGAGTTTCACACTGAAGTACTAGTATGTAATCAAATGCATGCCACACCACAAATCCGTAACATTTATTTCAGAACAGAGATTAAAGAGGGGAGGGAGTGTTAACCATAGTTACCTATTTTATTTTATACTCTCAGGCCCCTGGACTGAATAGATTCCAGTGGTGGACCTTGAAGCTAGTGACAGCAAGTTTAAAAACCTCAGCTACCGGCAGGCATCCAGATTGGGCAGCAGGTACAGCTGGTCCAGCTCCCACAGTACTAGCACTTAGGAAGGGGAAATTTTTTTTTTTTTTTTTCCCACAGGCTTCACTAATAAATTTCTTCACGAAATCAGCTAACTGAATTTTGCAAAATCAATAATATGTTACAGCTACATTATGTTCTTCCCGACAATGCATGAGCAAGAGCAAGGATGTGATATCAAATTACCATCATGCATACTGATGTGATAATAGAATCATAATTTGATAGGAAACGGTACCCCGTCAGGCAACTCCACGACAGATTGAATGCAATAAATAAAAGTATCAATTCACATTGTCAAAAAAAACGCAAGTAATATACAAATGGGAATAGGGAAAGCATCGGGTTATCACAAAAAACTTTATGCACAAAGAAAGATTTTGTTGTACATTGATGACATGATGAACCATCAAAGTCTATACGATCTACACTTCTGGAATAAGATGGTTACAGAAACGAGCACTAAGTTGTCATAGAAACAAAACTTATTCTTAATCACATCACATGAGAACGAACTCTTCAAGCCATCTGATCCAGGTTAGTATGCGTATACACCGATGTATATATCAAGATCATCAATTTGGATGTCTATCCCAACCATGACATTCAACAGCAATGTGCAACTTTTCTAGCAATGTCCAAACACAAAAAGAGGATTTAGCTTACGGAATCATTGCACATCAGATTTTTATATCCATCACGTGGATTTAAATCATGCACATATCTGGGGCCCAGAAATTTATTTTGCCAGATCATGAATCCCAAATACCATCCCTGGCATCTATGCGTGCATCTGCACTCAAGTGTTCTGCAAAAACGCATCAAATTATGAAATTTTTTATGTTGCTGTGCTATTCCCTTATTTAGTTGCTTTCTTGTTCGTTATCTCTTTCAATCTCTTCTCTTTCATTCTCTTTCTATTTTTTCTGGTGTACTTCCTAGCGTGATCTTCCACCTATAGAAACAATAAAATAATGCATAAATTGCAGTCTTTAAAGGACAAGAGCTTGCAAAGCATTCACAGTGATCCAACAGAGAGTCTGTATAGAACATTTAATTAAATACACCTAGACTGCTGGTTTGTCGTAAGCCAGAAGTATGAGCTATTAACTTCAAATCAAGGGAGATGAACAATTAGGACATGATGCAGTGGTCTCAATACTACCAATACAATCCGTTGTATTCTTCTAGCCTTTGACCTTGAGATGAAATAAGTCTGTCAAATTTATTTTCATAGCAGAACAGGCTACTTTTAACCTTTTTCTCCTTGTTTATTGGATTACAATTAGCATTTATTTTTGTGATCAAATCAGTATCATCACAATTGCATCTTTTACCAAGAGAGGAATTAGGCAGGATTTATGCAATGTAAAGTTGATACGTTAATTCGATTTGATAATGTATGAAGGACCACTATATCCCTTGGTTAACCTTTTCATTTATTGAGTCCCAAACAAAGTCTAGCACATGTTTCTACATTCTGAGTATGTTCATTATATCATTCATTTCATTTCTAATGGGACTTCATAATTGAAAATTTCCATTGAATGGTCCTTTGGTGATCACCAGTAATGAATAACTGATCAAGCTGGGAATTGGAAATATCCACATAGTTGTCCTTCATTGATCATCAGTAATATTGATCAACTTAAGCATCCCATGTCTATTTAGTATTGGTCACATCAGCAACTTAGGACAAGTCCCATTCCATGACACTGTAAGACTAAAAAGTATACGTCATTGAACTGATTTCATTCATATATCTCATTAAACCTTCAAATTACCAGGTGTGAATGGGAAACCAATGGTTCTCATGTCATGATGACTGCCTTTTCTCACCTAATCCATACTATACTACTTATAAAAGAGAAGATGGGTGACAAAACTTTTATTTCCCAAAATATCCCTTAAAGTTCATCCAAATTAACATATTACAACTTTTCTCTCATGCATTTTTCTATGCCTTCATTCATTTATCATTTTACTCTTCCAAGTATAACGTACAACTTTCCACATTTTTTTTCCATTTTCCTATGCATGAATAAAATTAATTTACTTGTTGCACTATTGCATTTAATTAATCCAACCATTCTACTCCCTAAAAGTAACCTCTCTTCGATCCTTTCTTTATAGAATTTCATCATCTTCATCCAACAATCTTGAGACATCCAAAAGAAGAAGGAAAATTAAAGAAAAAAATAAACCAGCTGAAACCCATATATACCCCACAAACAATTGCAGCTCCACCCCCTATCAAACATAAATCAATCCAAAACTTATGGATCAATTTTTGGTATACAAACAAAGAAATTCAAAAGTTGAGAACCTAATGTTGACTTAGGTTTCTATGAACCTCCTGACAACAACATTTTGTAGACAAACCAATGTAAGAAAGTTAGACTACCCGAAGTAGGCGAAAGACAGACCTGGAGTTCCTGAAGCCGACAACGGGATTTCAAATTGAGTTAGCTTGCCGATTTGGTTATTGTTAATTTCTCCGGTATTTATGTGTTGTGGGTCTTTTTTTACTCACTTGAATAAAAGGCTCAACATGGTTGCTAACTATCACAATTCTCCTTCTATTGGTAGTTGGGGCCTGTGACACATGTAATGGAAGAGAAGCAATAATTAACTTCCTACCCAAGTACTTAAGAGCAGAGAAACCTAGCAGTAGCGGAAAGACAGACCTGGGTTCTGAAGCCAATGCCAGTAAGTAGACGACCCGAAGTAGGGAAGACAGACCCTGTAGTTCACTTGCGGTTTGGGTATTGCTAACTATCACAGTTCTCCTTCCATTACATTGTCACAGACCTGGAGTTTTGAAGCCAACAATGGATCTCAAATTGAGTTAGCTTGCGGTTAGGTTATTGTTAAATTTTCAGTATTTATGTGTTTGTGGGTGTTTTTTTCTCACTTGAATAAAAGGCTCAACATGGTTGCTAACTATTACGATTCTCCTTCTATTGGTAGTTAGGGCCTGTGACAATGTAATGGAAGAGAAGCAATAATTAACTTTCTTGAAACTAATGATAGTGGTAATATTAGTTCTTTTTTTTAACCAATTATTTTTTATGAATTGTAGTTTAGAGACTCTTTCTTGAAACTACTGATAGTGGAAATATTAGTTCTTTTTTTTTACCAATTATTTTTTTATGAATTGTGGTTTAGAATGAAGGATCAGACCGATTTCTTATTTATTAATTATTATCAAAGATTTGATCATTTTTAGTTTTGGATTGGTTATCATGTTTATGGAACTTTGTTTTGTATTTTTATTCGTTAAGCATGTGGTTTGATGAGATTTTGGCTTCAGTTTCTTTTTTACCTTTCAACTTTATGATGGTTTCAGAAAAACATCTATTATTTGTCTGCCTCTTTAGTTACGAGTTTGTGCAAACTTATCATTGTTGTTTTTGTATTTCCTTTTATCTATCTCATGGTCTAATTCATTGTTATGAGTTTATGGAATTTTGTTTTATATTTTTATTCGTTAAGCATGTGGTTTGATGAGATTTTGGCTTCAGTTTCTTTTTTACCTGACAACTTTATGATGGTTTCTTGTTGTTTCTTTTTTCTGCTATTAGCCTTTCCTTTAACTAATGTGGTAGTGTTCTAATTAAATGAACACAACATATTGCGAACAGAACATACAAAGAGAGGATTGACTGTTGCCCTTATTGTCATATCCAAATCTATGTCACTTAACTTTTCTCATCAAGAAGTTCAAAGAATCTATGCTTGCAATTCTATCATCAAGGATAATAGTCAAAATTTTAGGAAGGAAATCACAATTCATAAGAAATACTCAATGTAATTTCAAGTATCTCAACTGATAAGTGGATTAGCTAAATTTCAATTAGAATGATTGAAATGATTATGCAGACAGTAGAAATTTCAACAGCTAAAAAAGCAAATTATGCAGGGGAAAAATCAAATCGATAATAGAAATGCTAATAGCACTATCTATAGCTTTAAGGGAAATCTGCTGTTTTCTGATTAGTGAAATAACCTTTGAATTTGAATTTACATCTTATATATGATGATTCGATGAATATGCCAATGGACCTTTTGGGCATCTCTATGAAGACCAATATCTTCTAATAGACAACCAAGTAACGTTATATTGCACGAACTGTTTTTACTTGTGCTCAAGTACAGTGTAGCAGCACACAGTTTAAACCTTAAGGAGGAAATTCTTGTTTTCATAAATAACAGTTAGTAAGATCCAATTAGTTAGCAGAGGTTGTGAAACATGAATTGAACACGATATAACAAAATGAGTGATGCACTATTAGTATATGCTAGTACCCATGCACAGTAAACTCATAGATCAAAGATACACCAGAAGTTGAGATCAAGTTTTCATCAAATAACTGTGAGCATTGATTATCGTTAAGAAGATTGGTCTTCGTCCCTCCCCTTTTCCACATATTGTAGGTGTGATGGTATCACATTGAGATTAACAGTGATTCCATTTGCATTCAACGCTAACACATTCTTAAGTCAAAAGAACTAAACTAAAATAGCTGAGTTTCCATTCTGTTTGGTAATGATAAAAATAAAGCATGTTAGGTGTGGACACCCAAAAAAAAATTTTACCGCGTGAACCAATTTTACACGGACCCTTCATGTTTTAGGACCTAATGGCACATCAAATCTTAATATCAAGATGATATCATTTCCACTTCATTGTTAACACATAAAGAAACACCTCATATCATGACATTTCAAGTAAGACACAGATCAATTATGACAACCTATGAACTAATTGTATATTAAGAGTATTTATGCATGTTTTACCAAGCAAGCAACATGGAAATATCTATTTGTCAAAACATTCAAAAGCGTATGTTAGCCACTTTGACATATGACATGGACAATGTGATACTAGCATGAATGGACAAAGGTATTTTAGAATAATTAAAATCACAGCGAAACAAACATTAGTAAATTGAGGTGTGGTTTTCAATTGTAGTTCCTTTATAGGGAAAAAAGAACTTTGATTTGCACTTTTACTTAACAAATGCAAAGAAATATTAAGTGATAAAACAACAAACTGGCAGTTCAATTTTACTTATGCTAAAATTTCGGATTTATAAGATTCTTACTTGATTAAGACAGGTTCATAGGCAGTAATCAGCACATCCGTACCAACTTCCTTAAGCCGCAAATTTGCCAGATACACCTGGAGTGTTGTATCATGTCAAGGCAAAACCCCGAATGATATAAAATAACAAAGCAGCTAAAAGAGGACGACATAGAACTTACACGCACTAAATTTTGTGCCTCCCTTCCTTGTCTTCCCTTGGAAATTCCCTACATCATAAATCATAAATGAAGAATTGACATAACCACAAATAGAATAGCATCGGAATATTTTACAAGTATTAAGCGAAGGCTTTACAGAAAAGTGTTATGATTACTTCAGTCTAGCCTGGCCTTTCTTAGGAGATGTGTATATATTTCTGTGCCTGCACTCGATGATAAATGCATACAAAAATGTGTTCATACATACACAACAATTAGCGCATTGGAGAGTACAATCAGATAACTATATTTAGTTCATTGATGTGTTACTTGCATCACTAAACTGAGAGTCTGATCTTCCACAAATTTCTTCCTGTGACTAACTTATGAGCATTTCAATCTCTTAGCCTCATATATTTTCGTCAAGGTAAATTTTCCAGCCAGAATACCCATGAGCCGCATAATAAATCTGCCAAAGTATCAACTAGATACCAAGATTTTATGTCAGTTTTTGAGCCTGTACTCGCCTTTAATTGGATCCGGTACCAGATAACAGGAGGATGATAGTAGGTCAAGGGCTATATTAACCTTAGCCAAGCTTTTTGAAAATTTATTCACTTTGATATGTCCCCAGTATATAACCTCATTTAATCCATTTAATGGGAAAACTAATCATATTGATGTTGGATAATGTTGAAACACTGAGCATATGATCGCAATGCAGGGCAAACAATAGCAATCACAGCAATGCAACCGCGGTTGTCATTGTTCGTATTGGTCCTGGAAATTTGCATTTAGGTAAAGCGTTACCTTTTCATTCAATAATCTAATAGAAGACTACTATTAAGATATGACTAAGATTAAAAAATTTATCGGAAAAAAACATTTCATGCCTCCGCTATAATTATCAAACCACGAACATATAGTTTCTCAGCAAGTATTAAGAAACTGTAAACTGTTACTTTTGCTTGATATATATTGTTAGCTGGACACCGATTAAAATTTTGGATAAGCCGATGAAGTGGTCACTTGATATGTCTCGGAAAACTGTATCAAGATGGCAGCTTGACATACATTTATTTACCCCTGTTTTATTCTTTTTGCAAGTTCTGCCATGCTAGCACTAGGGTTTAATGCTTCCAGTATAGTGGTCTTTAAATTGCCAAAAAGAAAATATATATATATATGGGGCAGAATTAAGTGTTACGTTTGTTGATATACATTCTCAGATCATAACTCATCAACTTAGGATTGTAGAGAGATTTCTTGTCTCGCAGGAACAAATGCACAAGATCATAAGTTCATGCATGCAGTAGACAGCCAAGGGTAGAGAGACATGGCACATCAGTCCCAGGACCAGGACGACTATACAGTGCAGTGTTGGTTCATATGTACATATTCGAACAAGTACTGACTGGTGCTACTCCCCCTTAAATGTAGATCACTGAGTCATGAGTAACATTTGCAGAATAGTAAACAATATTACATAAGCATGAATATGTCTAACAAACATGCAGAATAAGTACACGATCCAACTCTTTTACAAGGATAAATTAAGCCAATTATTATATATCAACAAGATAACACTAGTGCATACAGATACTATGCAAAATTCAATGATAAAAAGATAACTTTAGCTACAGTAATAGCAAGAATAAGAAGCAAAAAGGGAAAAAAGAAGAATAAATTACCATCTGACCAATTGCTGTAGTGACTATCACAGGGGCATCTCTATACCGCAGACCAACTGACTCAGCTATGCCTGAATGCTCGAGGACCTGATATCGTGATGAGAATGGATGCGTATGTTAGAAAAGCTTTTGAAGAAATGTTTAACTTTACTTGGCAAACTGACCTATTATTAATAGTAAACAAACGAGTTCAAAATTATCCACCGGGGTGTTCATGACAACAGTTCAATCACAAAATCTCATCACAATAAATATATTTCCAAGCAACAAGGATTTCCCTTCCAGCTCGTTAAATCTCATCCATAATTTGACACGGCATCCAGTAAAAAGTACCAAGTTACCAGCGCCGCATCCATCAAAGATTAGAACAATGCTATATTAATCAAAAAAAAAAATACTCCAGCCAACTGAGTATTGATGACTACAACAGATCCAGCTCTGATTCACGACACACGCACCAAACTTGTCGTGTAAACTCGTTACTCGGGTGCAAAAAAAAAACAAAAAAGAGTATTTACCACGCCTTCATCCGCATCTTGCTCCCTAGCAAGGTCTCGCAAGAACCAGATAGCACTCCCGATATCCTCAACATCATGCTTAAAGCCCAGCAGCTCAAATACAAAGGCTCTCGTCGCGGCCGGGATCTCCAAAAACCTCCTGCAGACAGCACTCCCGCTATCAAAGATTAGAACAACGTTATATTGATCCTGCCCCATGTATATCAACAAATCGCTCTACAATCCTTTTGGTTTCGGCCGTAGGCGAAGGATTCGATGGAGGGAGGGGTCGAGGGTTTAGGCTTCTTGAGGATTCGAGAGGGTTTGAAGTTGCCCCAATCGTCGTTGATGAGAGAAGGGAGCTCGAGAGTAGACTGAAGATCGTCACTGATGACGAGGGGGAACAGAGATTGGGGTTAGGGATTTTAAAGGGGGTTGGATTTTAGTGAGGGCGGGATTTTAGAATTTGGGGGAAATTTTTTTTTTTTTTTTTGGGGGGGAAGCTGGTTAACCAAGAGAACGGAGGAAGAGTGATGTTTTATTTGGGGATATATTTGCATCAAATTTTAGACTATGTATTGAATATGTGATTTATTACGTAGCTATAATTAAATATTCAATAGATTAATAAAATTTAAATTTTTTATTTATTATTTTTTGCAATTTAAAATAATTTTTTAACTCATATAAAGGATTAAAAAGCAAAAACAAATTAGAAGATAGTGGTTAAGAAATATTTTCTTTTAGTTCGGGGAAAATGAAATAAACTAATAAAAAGTCATAAAGATATATAAAAAAACTAACAAATCTTTAATATTTCAAAATTAGTCATTCAAATCATGAAAATTTCTATTACATCCCTCAAATCATCACAATGTTTACAATTAGGTCCCCTGGTTAACACTGATTAGATTTAAAGAAATAATCCTTTAAATCTAACTATTATTACCGGTTTTCCTTGATATTTAATTATAAAAATAAAATCCGTTTGGACCTAGTTGACCCGTTAAAATGTGAAAAACCAAATCCATTAAAAACTTCTTTTTTGTATCCAACAGATATCATCTTCGCTCTATCTCAATTTCGACGGCTCTTTCTCCTCTTAACCGTAAAAAACTCCAATAGAACTTTATCCAAACTATTTTCATTCATTTCTTTAGTGATTAAATCTCATTTAGCTCCTCTCAAATTCATTAATGATGTTCGCATGCTCAAGTTCATTCGTAAATGAAGCCAAGAGTAGTGGAGGTCATCAAATCTGCTAGCATAAAGAATAAACGAAAATAAATTTTAAAATGATCAAAATGGTTACATGTTCGTAACACGTATAACTAAAAATTATCTCCTCATTGGTATCTCACCATTTTATCATCATTTTCACTTTTCGCATCATTTTCTCTAAACTAATCAAAGTCGAAGCCAAAAACTCACGAATACTTATCGAATATCAAAGTATATTTATTCCGCTAAAGGATTTAATTTTTAAGTATTATTAAAATTCATAAATAAAAATTATTCCATTATACTATATATATAATGTGTATTTATTTAAATAAAAATTTAATTAGAAAATAAATTTAAGATTATTTGAGTCTTAAAATTGGTATATAAAACTTAAGTAGAAATGATTATTTAATTAAGATTATTTAAGATCTAAGATTATTTGATTTTTTTACCATTTTCTCATCATTTTCTCTAAAGTAATAAAAGATGAAGCCAAAAACTCACAAATATGAAATCATATATGTAATAATACAAATAATAGCATGTGATCAATTTTAAACGAATATTTAATAAAAAACGAATCGAATATACATCTGGTCGCCAATACTCATTGAATATGATTGAATAGTTATTTGAACAATTATCAAACTATTTGTTAATTATTTGGTTCATTTACATCCCTAGATGTAGCAATTTACATAATTTGGTGAACTACTTTTAAAATATTATAGATTTGAGGGACTAATATAAAAATAATTCTTAATTTTTTGCAGTGGCCACTCATTAACAATTGGATAATCAATCACTAATGTTAATTTTCTTACAATGGACACATTAGCATTGGCGACGAAATGCATCCGCCGCCAATGAGTATTGGTGACGGATCGAATCCGTCGCCAATGAGTATTGGCGACGGATTAGATCCGTCGCAAATGAGTATTGGTGACGGATTAGATCCGTCGCCAATACTTATTGGCGACGGATGCGTTCCGTCGCTAATGAGTATTAGCGACGGGAAAACATTGGCGATTTTGGATCGCATCCGTCGCCAATACTCATTGGCGACAAATTCGATCTGTCGCCAATGTTTTCCTGTCGCCAATGAGTATTGGCGATGGAAAAACATTGGCGATGAGGTTATTCCCGTCGCCAATGCAAACATTGACAACGGGTTATTGGCGACGGGGTTGTTCCCGTCGCCAATGTTTGTATTGGCGACGGATTCAAAATTCGTCGCCAATACCCCGTCGACAATGCCCAGTTTTTTACTAGTGACAGCAACACAACCCTTTGAGACGTCTATCTTCGTCAGTACCTTATGGAATCATTGGAGCTCCCCCTACTTTTGGTTCATCAAATCCGGCGCTCTCCTCAATTCAATGTCAGATTTGTGACACTTTTGGTCATCTCGCTCGAGATTGCTCAAATCGTTTCAATCAAACACATCAAACTACAGCTTCTCTTCATTCACATGTGGCAGCACTTGCTCTTGCCGACCTTCAAAATAATGCTTGGTATATGGATTCTAGAGCTAGCACTCACATGACTTTTGTGCTATAGAAATAATCAACTGTTAATCATATTCAACTGGCTGACACGTGTCTCAAGCAGACTACACAGCGATTCGACCTATATACACCGACTTCTCATCCCCCTAAAAGGCTGATACGAAAGGTGTCCCTTCTCGTTTCCCTCAAGGGTCAAGACGAAAGATGTCTTTTCTCGGCCCTCTTGCAAAGCCGAGATGAAAGGCGGGTCATTCTTGAACCTCCTCACCAATAGTCAGTCACCATCACCTTAAATGCACGGTCGGAGTCATGATTACATCTCTCTGGAAGTCTTAATAACTCATCGGACCTTTTTAGCACCCTATCCCCCTGGCACTATTTCATTAATCACCATGCTACCCACAACCGACACCCGTAAAGTATCAGCCAAATAAGCTGACTACATAGACTTGACCAAGATTACATAAATACCTCATCAGCTCAATATAAATTGACACATCATCTACTGACCAATGGTACTCGATTTCTGCACGCTTAGAGAACTACGTCAGTTCCTTTCTCTACTTAAGATCATATGTGCAGAACTCTCTTTTATTATGGGATCAACCATCAAAGGAGAACAGTGGACCCTTAAACTCTCCATAATCCATACTAAATTTCCCTATTCGATACCTGACATCAACAATTTGGCATCCAAAGTGAACCCTCTTTTTCTTCTTTGTACAAGATGGCTAGTTCTTATCATCCAGATCGATCATCAATTCATCCTACAGAAGAAATACATAATGTATGTTTCATCACTCAAGCCCAACTAGAGGAATCTACTCGAAGAATCTCTCAATCTCTTCAACAACAATTCGATTCCTTCACAGACGAACTTCTCAGTAGGATTTCTTGCCAACAACCTTCTCTGTCGTTCATCACTCCTCCTCCCAGGGGCCAATCTGAATAGTGAGCATAGGAGAGTGCACTGAATACACCCCTCATCCACCTCGCCGACAGACTTGTTCTGTCGCATGTCTTGACAGCTGCCGCAACATATGGAGGAAACTGATGAAAGTTCCAGTTCCTGCCACGAGCATGCTACATGGACGATGTTGCACAGTGCTAGATATCTCCACATTGCTTGAGGCCCCTCCACCACTAATTTTTCATCTAGTTATGACTGGACATTTAACACTATCATAGATGCCATTGGTGGGAACACTCTACTTGCTGACTCAATCATAAACTCTCTATGCGCCAAGTTCAAGATGCCACGTACTGAGAAATACAAAGGCGAGTGAGACTCAGTGGAGCACGTACAAAACTTTTATGATCTAATGATCATAAAGCAAGTGTGCGATCCCTGTTCGGGTCAGATTTCATTACCATCGAATCTATTACAACTTTGGTTGTTACAATAAACTCAAATAAATGAGAAAAGTCGATCTTTTTATAAGATCTCCTTATACAATGAAAATACAAAAAATACAACTCTTGTCAAATGGCGCAGCGGACGTTTATCACCCGCTGTTTGTATGGGAACTTCGCCTGTGCCGGGACGTCGATATCCGTGGACCGCCTACGGATCAGATCCGGTTGACATAAAATTAACAGAGCTCCTACTTTACCAAGGAAGTATTCACTTGAAGCTCTGAAATTGACCAAGTGAAATTAGTAGCTCTTCTCGAGATTAAGACCAAGCCTAATCTCGAGGAACGGACGGACGAGGCTTCAGATCTCTCGAACTCTCCCTCTTTATGCTGAAGAACTTCACCGAGATCAGTTAGTCTCCTCTGAAATTCGTGCTCCTTTGACTTCTCAATCCGGCAGCACCTTCTCGTCTTGATAATATTCCGCTCCTATAAAATGATCCCCTAGGCCTGTACTTATAGGCTTCGGTTAGGGGGGTATTTGGATAAAAATGAGTGATTTGGCCTTATCTTCAGTCAATAATGGCCTAACCATATTTGTAGATGATATCAAGTCAGTTGGGAACTCCTGGAATAGATAAATCCTGAGAAAACAGCTCAAAACCGTTAAAAACGCGTTTGGGGCTTGGATGTGCGCGACAGGCGCTGCTGACCCGCAGGGGCGCGGGTCGGCGCTGTCTGACCCGCGCTGGCGTGGGGGTTTGGCCTTTTTCTGAATTTCCCGTTGTTTTCCCGACTTTTCGAAACTTGTATTTTTTGTCATTTTGCGTATTTGATCATCTTGTTGACTTGTACGATTTGCTAACTTTCTTCATGCGCTCGTTAGCTTCTTTACGGCACTTGGAACCAAACGACATACACGTCGGGCACTTTGAGTTGACCGACGTGCGTGAGCTGATTGACATGCGCGAGCTGACTGACGAGCACGCGTTGTCTGATGTACGCGCATTGACTGACGTGCACAAGCTTATTGATGTGTGCAGCGGCCAATCGGATAATCCTTCTTGACTTGGATGATGACGTTCATCATCTTCTCTTTGCCTCGAGTTGCGTGCGGACACCTATAGGCATTTTTAGACGCCTATAGATACCCCCTCTAAAGTATTTCAGACTCATTCTTTTATAGAGAAGTCTGGAATGCTTTGGATAAGACATGCCTTGTTGTTAATCTCTTTAATATTTGTTGAGGAGATCGCGTAGAAGAACCTGTGGATTGCTTCATTTCGTGACTTCTTCAGCCTTCAGTCTATTCAGTGTTTTGTCGAATAGATGAAGTTCTTCCGGTACTGCGTTTATCGTCTGATCGTTATCAAAATTTTGAACTGAAGTTGATGCGTAAG